AGAAGAAGAAGAAGAAGAACAAGAACAAGAACAAGAACAAGAACAAGAAGAACAAGAACAAGAAGATGAACAAAAACAAGGAGAAGAAGAGGAAAAAGAACGAGAAGAAGAAACAGAATAATTTTAACACCAGACATTCCACGTGTAACGTTAAGCATTGAAAGAATATTCCACTTCATTAAACCTGGAATTTATTCACGGGTATGTCTTAATCCGTGCCATTGAACAGAAATGTCAATTTCTGGCAGTTCATTCCTCAGACCAGAGGAGGGCGGATGTCAGAGACATGGGTCGTGAACTTAACGCCTGACTTAGTATATGCTGGCAGACATGTTTTATAGACCAATTTGTACTCGTCGTGTGATGTCAACATTATATGGGCCGCATTCACTTCTCTCCGCCCCGAGTGCTAGAGGTTCCGCGTTTAATCCCCGGTAAGGTCTAGGATTTTTTCACGTGGACTTGGACTTCTAGTAATTCCCCCTGGTCTCTGGGTAGTGAGATCAGACGCCCGTGTGCATTGTTGCGCAGTTGGAAATCGAAAAGAGGAGCCTTACGGCGCCTGCCCGAGCAAAATTTTTAGTTACAAATCTACCAAAAGTATTTCCAGATCCTCGCCGGTGCTACAGTGCCTGTGCACTGTGCTAAGCTTCTTTGGAATCAGACTTGGGTTAGTAGAAGGACGGAGCACTTATGGGTTATTACTAGTGTGCCATGATGTTGATCCGTTGTTCAAACATCAAAAACTTGATAAGGCTCAAATGAGGAGCATATTTTGGATTTTCTGTCCGGGAGATTCAGTTGTGCGAGGTTACGAGCAGGCTGACAGATTAGCTGCTGCAGCTTCTCTGAACGATAAGTTACTTTATGATAAGGCGGACGTGGTGAAAGCTCTCTGTGATAAAATGGACAGTGTAAAGCAAACAGACGCAGAACCGCTTTAATGAAAGACTAATTCAACCGGGAAAGAGGGTGGGGGTGGGATGGGGTGGGGGTGGTTCTGGAAGATTTTTAACATTGAAAAGGAAACAGAGGCAGACTTTTAAACTGGTTTTAACTGGTACTATTAGCATGACGACTCCTCATTGGCTACAGAAGAAGGGGACGGAGCGCATGTGGGAATGTCCTAACCATAGTGATGCCAATTTTCGATTGTCTGATTGATTGATTCATCTTTTCACTTAATCAATTCAAATTTTATTTCAGATTTAAAATATGCCAGTGAGAATTGGAGAACCTCTAAAGACATGAAGCGAAAGTTGAATGTGTTTGAAAATGATGAACTTACCACGGGATGGATCCAAGACGGGTGAAGAAATAAGAGACATTTCTGGGCAGAGAAGATGATGTAATCTTCGGCACATTCTGCGAAAAAAAAAACAACGAAAAGGTACTGGAATGGGAAATAGATGGATTGAGGAAACAAAGACATACCCAAGAGAAACTCTAACGCAAACGTTTATCAATCAATCAGGTGCCATCTCCACAATGAAGGTTGGCTGAAATGGATCTCCAACAAGCCCTGTCTCTTGCCCTTGATGTACACTCACTCATACTGCTGTTCGTCCATCTCTTGATGTTATCCTCCCACTTGTAACGCTGTCTGCCTTTTGCTCGCCCACCTTGAACCTTTCCCTCTAGGATGATCTTTACAATACTGTTATGTCTTTTAATGTGTCTCTTTTTTATTTCACCTAGCAACTCTCTTTTCCTTCCCAATTTCCTCGGTACCTCTGTATTTGATAGCTTTTGTTTTCATGAAATACGACCTAATCTTCTGTATATCCACATCTCCAAAGAACGTTTATAGGAGAAGCTAAAGCTGCCAGACCGGATTATATCCATCACATGGAAGCAATTGCACGGAATGGACGAATAGACTGCCAACCCGATGTGGTAAATAAGGACACCACAAGACAAAGAATGAATGCATGAATTTTCAACACTTCCATTTCACGGAATTCCTATTCCAGTAAAGCCCATTCATATAGTAGATATAGTTTTTTCCACACACACACACACGCGCGCGCGCGCGCGTTCGCACGCACCCACACATACAAATAGGTATACATTTATGTGCGTGAGTGCGATCGCGCGCACATGCACGCGCGCGTGCGTGTATGTGTGTTTGTGGAAAAACCTCTATTTACCAAACGATTTAATGCAATAGGAACTCTGCATATATATATATATATATATATATATATATATATATATATATATATATATATATAAAATTTCTAGGCTTATAATCAAGCTTTCAAACATTTCATGTTTCAAATCGCTAAAAGTAGACTTGCTACTGCCAATCACCTGTGTCAGTCGGTATTTGGCTATTGTATACAGTTCTATCGATACATTGAAACTATCGAGTATATGAAACTATCGAGTCGGGTATATTGCCAAGTTGTCGAACAATAAGCGTCGTGTACCCCCTAGATTTGAATTCAGGCTCAACTTTGTACTGCTGTGGCAAAACATTTGTTACCCAGAAAGGAATTATTGTTATTTGGTTATTGTTAATATTTACGCATACTGGTATCGCGAATAACAGAAAATAGAGGGAATTTGTTTAAACGGGGTCAAATAGCTGACAGGAGAAAGGCAGGTTTCAATGAAGGATGGAGTTTCAGTGAAAGAGACAGGTTTCCGTGAAAGAGACAGGTTTCCGTGAAAGAGGCAGGTTTAAGTGAAGTAGGCAGTTTTAGTGAAAGAGGCAGGTTTAAGTGAAGTAGGCAGTTTCAGTGAAAGAGGCAGGTTTGAGTGAAGTAGGCAGTTTCAGTGAAAGAGGCAGGTTTGAGTGAAGTAGGCAGTTTCAGTGAAAGAGGCAGGTTTGAGTGAAGTAGGCAGTTTTAGTGAAAGGGGCAGGTTTAAGTGAAGTAGGCAGTTTCAGTGAAAGAGGCAGGTTTAAGTGAAGTAGGCAGTTTCAGTGAAAGAGGCAGGTTTAAGTGAAGTAGGCAGTTTCAGTGAAAGAGGCAGGTTTGAGTGAAGTAGGCAGTTTTAGTGAAAGGGGCAGGTTTAAGTGAAGTAGGCAGTTTCAGTGAAAGAGGCAGGTTTAAGTGAAGTAGGCAGTTTCAGTGAAAGAGGCAGGTTTCATTGAAAGAGGCAGGTTTAAGTGAAGTAGGCAGTTTCAGTGAAAGAGGCAGGTTTCAGTGAAAGATGCAGTTTCACTGAAGGAGGCAGTTTCAGTGAAGGAGGCAGGTTTAAGTGAAGTAGGCAGTTTTAGTGAAAGAGGCAGGTTTTAGTGAAGGAGGCAGTTTCAGTGAAAGAGGCAGGTTTCAGTGAAAGAGGCAGGTTTCGGTAAAATTCAATAAAATATGTTGCAAGGTGATTAACTAACTGTAGTTTAAATTGTGTATAAATTTACTCGATAACAATGGTGAGCACAGACCGGCCTAACAAAACGGGAATTTCCGTAGACCCGTTCGGCCTTACTGCTAAAACTGGCCATGGATCCATATTCTTTTATACACATACATCCTTAACACTATGCTGGCATAGACACACACAATCAGGCCATTACATAATCATACTGCTTTTATCACAGCATACACAAAAGCGGCAACAATGAAGCAAAGTATGTCGTTCGAATATACATCATTCATTTGTGCCTAGTTTGTAACCATTTTCAAGCAAAGTTTTTTCATTCTTTCGTTCGTCATCAAACGAGGCATAAGCCTGACATCTGTTTAAATAGTTAGAGCTACCTTGTTACGTATGCAGTATGGCGCTATGGGCGAATATTAAATTATACTTTAAACTCATGCTATTGAGACAGTTGAATTGATGAGACAGGTTTATGTGGATCAATGCTTATTTCGTGCACTGGGTTATTCATCGTTATTCACCATTCGAAACCGATGTCTTCTTCTGCTACTGCCTTCTGTCCAACGTGGGTGCATAGGCCATCAACTGTTACATCCTTCGCCCTTCTGTTACTGAATCTCTCGTGGAAAGCAAAGTAACACTGCAACCTACCAGCCATGTCATAAAAGGCGACTAAGGGTAAAGTTGGGCTCAGGGGTTGGCTACCTCATACTGTAAAAAACCATGGCAACGAAAATCAACCAACGTTTGAAAAGTCAAAACTTGTGTAAGTAAAGTAAGTAAAAACCCTTTTCCTCGCCTTCAGAGGCGTATTGGGCACATAGGGCTAGACCTATATTTTACAGAGTCTCCACTGGCGTAAAAAAAGTCCTCTACTTCACTTAGCTACCGTGCTGTGGTATGTGCACATTGCATGATGATGATGATGATCTTGTTGCATGTCAGCTACATTCAAGCTTTTTCTAGTTTTAGTAAAAGAAAAAGCCCGGCTCTCTAGCGTAGTTGGTTAAACTAGATTGCGCGGAAACCAGGTGACGAACTCCTTGTGGTCCGGGTTCAATCCCGGGGGTAGGTAGGAAAGCCACATTTTCTCCCAGATTTACGGTATTTACAATGGAGTCAAGGCCGAAAGGTTGCGATATCCATAATACCGAGCCTAAGTGTTAACAACTCATGGCTTCTGGATACTAAAACAAAACAAACAATCTAAGTTTAAAACCCCCGTGCTCCTGTATTGGTTCCGTGACCCCATTGTGAATAGACCGACTGTTTGCTCCACGAGCGTGCCGTAGGAGTAGAGTATTTGGAGGCTTTCTCTGGTCTGTGTGCATCTGCCTGAGAGGCAATGAAACGGGGATATGCACACAAAGCAAAAAGTCCATCTGTTGTTAAACGGATGTACATACAACACTCAAGTTATGGAACAAGACTAGAGTCTAGAGGTGGACGAACAAACAGTAGTTTCAGCCGGTATTTGCAGCCGGTGAGCGCGAAGAATATTTAATACAGGTCCTTATAAATATATTTAATAAAAAAATATGCACACCCATAAAGACAGATATACACACGCACACACACGCACAATACCAAACACACACACACACACACACACACGCTCACTCACTCACTCACTCACTCACTCACTCACTCACTCACTCACTCACTCACTCACACTAACGCCGTTTCATGGATTCACGCATGGCCCGACCGAACACCCGTTTCACATCTTTGCCTTTACTTTCACTATCAAGGGCAGAACACTCTAGATACGCATTAGCACTGATATGTTTAGCGAGTTGTTTCCCTTGTTTCTTAGTGACAAAAACACGTTCACAAACGCTGGCCCTCAATTTGGCCTTGTCTCTTAAGTCCTTTTTGGTCCCAACGAGGACAAACGGCGTCTCATGGCACAGGTGACGTAATTCCGGTGACCAGTCTAACTGTAGACGAGCGAGTGACTTCGGAGAGTCGAGGGAGAAGCAGAGTATGATCCCGTCGACTTGATTGTAGAGAAGAGCTCTAACTTTGGCATAGTCGTCGTCTCCCGATGTATCATGGACGACAAGACGAATCTGTAGAAACGAGAAGGACAACGCTAGATATGCTACATAAATGTTTAATGCATACAGCTGGTGAGTAGAAAAGCAGAAAAGCTCACAGGCAAGCGGACAAGCTGACTAGAGGCGTTCAGGCAGGCACAATAGTTGCAGACATGATAGATGAATGGATGGGAGTATGGAAGGATGAATAAAATAATAGCATGATTGATGGATAGAATGGTAAATGGATTGATCGAAGGAATGAAGGGTGAATGGAAAGATTGATGGAAGGAACGCCTAATTGATGAGTGGAAGAATGAATCGATCGACTGAAATGAATGCTAGATGGATGGAAAAAAAAAGAATGAATATGCTGGTTCGATGGGTCGATGGATGGATAGAAGAAAGGAAGAAGGGAAAGATGGATCGGTGAAAGAAAGGAAAAACGGAAGGATGGATATAAGAAATGAAGAAGGAAAAGATGAATCGATGAAAGGAAGGAAGAAAGGGAGGGCATATGGAAGGATGAATGGAACGATGGATGGATGCATACAGTGATCAAAGGATAAATGTCTAGGTACTTAACTATGCAGACAAAATTTGTTAAAATTTTTTTTAGGAAGATTGTTATTAAGATGGTGCTTAAGACAAGACGCACATATAACCAGATTATGACCAGTACCTTCAGTATTAGAACTCTGAGCTGGCTGCTGAAGATGAGGACGGGGCACGCATGGGAATGCCCCGAGTGCTGTGATATCCATTCTTGGCTCAACTCAACTCAACTTAACTCTTCTTCTGCCTTCTATCCTCAGGTGGAGCGTAGGCGCTCAACCAACTCACGCCAAGACATATCATCCTTCAATTTTGTTTTTTTGGTGTGCATCTGTTCCCATGGTCTTCCCTTATCTTTTAACTTCCTTCTCTCGCCCGGCTGTCTAGCGTAGTTGGCTAAAGCGGACTGCGCGATGACCGGGTCACGAACTCCTTGTGGTCCGGGTTAACTCCCGGGGGTATGCAGAAAAGCCACATTTCTCTCAGGTTGATGGTACCTATCATAGAATCAAGGCCGAAGGGTTGCAATATTCATAGTACCGAGCCAAAGGGTTAACAACTCAATGGTTTCTGGATGTTTAAAAAAAAAAAAAAAACTTCATGCTCTAGCTCCCTTTTCCGTGTGTTTTTGGTCTTCTTTTTTTTTTCTAGGCCCTTGTAGGTTCCAGAGCAAAAATATTATAGTTAAATTATTCTCAATTTTTCTCAACGTGTGGCCTATCCAACGCCAGCGTCTTTTCTTCACCTCTCGGTTATACGAAATATACAGCCAAAATACTGTTTTTTTTTCTTCTTCTTCTTCTTTACGTCCTTTTTTTTTTACCGCTTCGGGTGTCGAGAGAGATATAAGATCCTGCTTCGTGCTCTTCTGGCTGCTTCGACCGTAGACACATCGTGGTACTGGAGAGTTTCTCTGATGTTATCTTTATCTCCTCTGGTCACTGCTACAGTCTTTCTCAGACACCTCCTTTCCATGGTTACTAATTTTCTTTTATGTTTTGTTGTGAGTGACCACGTCTGGCACTGGTAGCATAGGGTGGGAATGAATATACTTTGTATGAGATATTTATTTGTGCTGATTGGGATTGCCTTATGCTGTAAGAGGGGAGCTAGTTGTCCTAATACTTGGCCTGCTTTAAGGCATGAAATGTGTTTGATTGGCTCATAAAAAAATTACCTATTTGTGTCATTTACTGTATAAGCAAGTATAAGTAACACACACCATTCTTTAAGGGCTAAACACATTATTTGTCGGGTAAAGACCAAAAAATTCCACTGTCAGAAAACAACAGTACCTGTACAACTGTAAATGATGGCTTTAAAAGGACATGGTAAATTTAAGACCAAAAACAGAAATCCGCGTTGACCCGTACATAAGTTTTCGAGATATTCGTTAAAGTATGAGGGCACAAATTTGGGAACGGACTCTACCTGCGTCCTCATCCACATACCTGACTCCCATCTCTGCTGATATCCATGTCATCAGTGTCAAGGACAGACAAGAGTCTCTCGTCAGCAGACGGCAAACGGTCCCTGCTAAAGCGGTAGATAAGGCTTGTTTTTCCCGCGCCCTTGTCGCCCACCACAGCCAATCTGCATGTCTTTATTGTCTTTCTTGGCTTTTTGTTCGACCCTTGAAAAAAAAAAAAAAAACGTTAATTTCTTGAAGTTTCACATTTAAATGCCCGCACACACACACACACACACACACACACACACACACACACACACACACACACACGCACACACTTATGCACACTTACACACAAGCAAGCAGAACAGCCCATAAATGCCTTTGAATACAAATGTTATAGACGAGTTCTAAGAATATCATGGGTAAAGAAAAGAACAAACACATCCATAATTCAAGAACTGAATATTGAAAAGAAAAACACAGAAAATTGAAATATATTTTGGCCACTGGAAACGTCAGGAAAATGTAGAGAGAACAATATTGGAGGGGTATATGCCCGGAAAGAGAGAAAGAGGAAGGTCAAAGAGAAGATGGGTGCAGGATGTGGCAGACGATCTCCAGATGGGTGTATCGGACGTAGGACATCGTACCTGAGATCGAGAAGTTTTCCGGAGGGTTGTTATAGGAACAAAGTTCTGCAAAGGACATGCTACTGACTGACTGACTGACTGACTGACTGACTGACTGACTGACTGACTGACTGACTGACTGACGCTATCTACAGGTAAGGATGATATTTTTGCCCCCAGTAGAAGTTCAGTTAAAGAGTGCAATTTTAATAGAGATCCATGGGGATCGTCGCTGGAGCTACGGAGTTCGTACTATGTGCGATTCTCTCAGCAGGCGGGTAGCCTTTCTGCGGAGAGAGACTGTCACATATCACTCCTGTCGCGTGCCTAATGCAAGGATTTCTCCTTCAGAACCAACGACACTCAGAGATAATTATGTTGAGTCGTTTGGCTCGTATTGGTCTAAGGGATTCCCCGTGGCCAATATACGCTCAACTTATCTCTGGAGTAGGGCAACTCAAGTATTGGCACTACAAAATATATCAGTATATAAATACAATATTTCTAGGCACACTTGGCTGGACACCCCCACTACTTACTAAAGAAAGCCCCCAGGTTATGATAGTTCATTATCATAACCATGTTAACACATATAATGAAGATACATACACATACAACTGCTAAACACTTAAGAAGGTGACATAGAGAAACCTAAGTCAGCCATGAAAATGGATGCATGTATTTAGTATAATATCTGTACAAAAAACAATTGAAGTGAATTCCAGCTATCAGTGAAAGAATCTCAGCACTAATGTCTAGATCCTAAGGAAACTAGGCAGACAGCCGGTCCTGGAGGTGACTATATGTCATCATTGGAACCAAGGAGCTGTGAGGAAAACAACATCATGCGAAGCATCAGACTTAGCTTCTATCCTTTCTGTCTATGATGCCTCCTTCAGCTCCGGATGATTCGACTGTCTTTGATTCTGGAAATTCTGCTCCACTTGATCAAATAGTCAGAGAGTACCTCACCATAGAGGACACAATACTGCACTGGTACTTAGCAAGTCTCTATCACCAAGTAGAACACAAATTGTTTGTGAGCCAAACCTAAGCTCTAGCACTGGTAGGCTGTTTGAGGTACCATTTCCCCCATGTTGGAGATGGCAGGAACCTTCACAGGTGTTAGCTGGTGGGTAACAGTTTGTTTCTGGTGGTTTGATGGTTGGTGGGTGTTGGTTGGACTGTGAAACTTCTGCCAGCTCTTCACAAAAGATACATCCTGTCAAGAAAATAACTCAACATTAGTCATCACCAAGAGGGTAACATCTTGACAGGAAAGACAGAGCAAGCATCAGTCATCAACCCCCATCTGCTGACTCCCCCCTGCTCTCCTGTTTCATTCCTCAGATTGCTTCTCCAGACCAAAAGACATAAGTCTCCTATATTTATCTGTCTGTTTAGTGCAAGAGAAGGCAAGTCAGATATACAGTGGAGATAGATAAAGTGGTCTAACACATATATCACTCTCTCTCTCCCCCTAACTCTGCACACAGACACCAATATTTACTGTCAGTACCTGCATTCACTAGCTTTCCCAACCGCCCGTCTTACCATCCACCGATCTGGGTCAACCATACTCATACAATGGACGACACAGTCCCGACCTAATTCTGGCCCCATTTGGTATGTATAGATTCTCTAGTTAGTTTAAAACGTACATACTTGTAAGGGTATTAAGTTTTACCAGTATGGGTGGTTTATTGAGGGCATAAGCTATTTAGTCTGTACAGGGGAAGATCTACGTTCGAATCCGCTTCTCTAGCGATCAAGAACGGTCGAACTAAGTGGGATCACACAGCCGATATTGATCTATCTACAGCAGTGACTACTTTACAGACATCATTCTAGGTACTCGTAAACTATAATTAACTTACCCAAGCATATGTAAAAACTGAGACATTCCAGATTGCCTTGAAAAATGAAATTTATACAGGCACAGATTAACACGTCTGGACGCTTGAGAAGCTGGCAAGGAGAATAGCGTCACTTAGACACTTCAGGCTTTGGTAACAAAAGAAGTCCCTTGTATACTTGGGCAAGGAGTAAATCGGTTTCCAAGAAACCTCAAATAACTCCCTGAATATATATCGAAGAGATATACATTTAAAAGTGGAGTTTAGTTAAAGTAACCAGAAAAGGCAGACATAATAATGTTGTCCAATAAAGGCCCATATATATAGATATAAGGGACTTTATATTTCTGGGCGAGTCCAAGTTTGAATTTTGTGCAGATTACAGGTAAGACAGGTTATCAGCCTTACAGACCGATGCGTAATGGCTATCATTTCACGACAGAGACCGAGCCGTATGGCACACAAAACCGGGGAAATGAAGTCCTTTAACCTATAACGTTCAGCTAGCTGCTCCTCTACGAAAGGGCCCTTCAAACATTTTACCATACGCATCGTGGGAGCCTCGATAGAGTGGTGGCTAGACGCTCCCCTGCTGGCATCCAGGTCATGGGTTTGAACCCACGTTGAGGTGGAGTCCAGAATGATTTACTCTATGAGCCACGACGTAAAATGATCCCTTTAATTGATTATGTGCCCAATGCGCGAAGGCATGACAAGATCCTTTCTGTA